ATGATGTGAAGAGAGCAAGAGATGACTATTTCTTCTCAAAGCAAGAGTCTTAAATCTTCAGGGAACAAAAAGGCCATATATAAATTAGGTTTAACATCAAGTACTTTTTTGAAGACAAAGTCTTCATCTGCTCTACCTCAATATTTACCATTGCTCTGGAAGGAATCATCAGATGGGAAACTATCAGCACCAAGTCTAGAATTTCTCAAACTCTTCTTACTTTTTAACCAAGACTAAGTCTTTCTGCATATATTATTTATCCTTTTCATGAAGTTTGCTTTCTATACTCTCTAATAAGAAGCAAAATTGCTTGCCTAAAACAGTATGCAGATGTGTTGGCTGTGATTATGGAGAGAGGGACTCTCTGAAAGGCAAAGATGAAGAACTGTGTTAGAATAGAAACAAATGGCAAATATACTTGTGACCACTTTCTGTGAAAAGCAGTTCAATAGTATATAAAATAAGAAAAAACTAGAAGCCTCCCAGGCTCCATATAAATGAATTGTCCTCTATCAAAAAACTGATGTATCACCTCCCAGTTAATAACTTGGCTATTTCATAAACTACTGACAAAAGTTGCTGCTCTGAGTACATTTCCAAAGTAGAAAGGTCTTCACTGATACATCCCATCTAACAACAGTGACTCTTTTTAACTTCTGCTTTCCCTCCATTCCAAAACCAGGATATGTGTTGGATAAGAGTAAATTACTATTAAGTAACTATTTACATATTAAAAGCATTTATATAAGACATTTAGGAATAACTTAGCCTCTTAGAAGTTGTGGTCTAATTGAAATGTGAAATAGGGGTTTTAAATGTCCAGACCAGTTCTAGAAAAAGATTCAGAAAATGTATCTTATGCACCATCCTCATTTACACTCTTTTAAGCATACTGTCCTATGTAAAACTCTATCTAATACTAAATAATTCACTCAGTGGGGAATAACAAGATTCTTTTTCTCCTTTTTTCAACTCATTATAGAAAGAGTCCCCATTCTTTCTCAAAAAAAAGTTATATTGAAAATACTGTTCTCACTATGGTAATGTTGATATTTAGATATTCATCTCTTTTACTGTATCCTTATGATTTATGTCACTTTCAGTTTAATCTTTGAATAATCAGTATTATTTTCATTTACAAATGTTGGTCAATTAAATTATTGAAAATACTTATCCTCACAAGGAAAAGCTGTTTTTTCCCCTCCCTACTAAGTGATCTGCATACATATCTGTACAAAACTGAAATAACACTTTTTCTGTTCATTTACTTCAGAAGCAAAAGATGTATCAAGTTATTCTTTGGACTTTTTAAAGATTGATATAAAACATGAGTGTCTTGTTTTCTACCTCTAGTCATAAACCAGCTTGGCAGCTTGGCAAGTGATTTGTCTGTGACTGATCTAGAGCAGAAATGAGAAAAACTGAAAAATATTGTAGTTGCCTGAGCCAGTGCAAGCCCTGGGAGAACACAAGTTCTGTTTGATGTATCCAAGGAAAGGTCAAACTTCTGTGCCAGTCATACAGCAAATGGGAAATCTCCCATGAGAAACCGGAGCAGTTGGTGAGCAGAACAAGTTGCTCTTGCAAATCTGGTTGTGCCAGGTTCTCTGCAATACTCTCTCCATCAACCAAGACTGGCACCATAAATTTAAGGTCTGCTGTAAGTGTTCCTCTCAAAAGCATAGACAAATGCTTTGCAATGCAGTGGTGCAACTACTAAAGAGTGGGAAAGTTTGTGATAAGTGAAGGAGGGAGAGAGGAAATGAGGGAAAATAAAGAGGTAGTGGAAAGCACAAGGTAGTATCACAAGAGATAGTTGACAGTCTTTTCCATCTCCCTTCCCTGAATACCTTGCAAGCATATAAATTATTCCTGTATACATACATTTCTTCCCAAAACGTCCATCTTTGGGGAGAATTCAATATGCCCATACATGAAGTTATACCTGTGATTTGGATCCAAGTTACCCATTTTCATATTTTTAAACATAATTTTTTTTCTCAGACTTTCAGGTGGAACAAACACTCGTAGCCCCTCAAACTCATTTAGATTATCAGAGGGGCTGTTAGGGTTTTGGTCATTTTTAATGTGCTTTTACTCATTGTAATTTTAAATTGTTTTATCGACATTTGTAACTCTCATGATTTTATTCACAATCCTGAGGGTTGTTCTTGAATGGGTGATGAACGTAAAGATGCATACAAGCGTGCAAATCCTCTCTATGGTTTTAGGACCAAAAAAATGTGCTCTTCTAGTCCTGGTGAAGATGCATTTAAAGGTGACTCTGTCCCTTTCTTAAAGAGGTCTAAGCAGTAGCTTTAAAAAACAAACCCCATTTAATAAAACAAAAACTAATTAGTTCTATCCTGTAAGATCACATGTATTCCTACTCTGTATTAGACGTGAAATTCCTGTGAAACATGGTGAGATGTTTCTTTATCATATACCCCAATAATGCTTCACAGTTTTATTCCTTCCTCTCTAGTGGTTGTGTTCTCTGTCAGTGATGCTTTTCAAAATCTCCTGGGTATTTGTTTCCTCCTAGCAGCACTCCTGACACTCCCTTTGCGGCTGCCCCTTCCATTCTCCTAATTAATGCAATGCTTTGATTCCACACTTATGACATTTTGCAGGTGGGCTGTAAGATTGGTGACATATGTCAAGGCTCATTGACAGGCTGAAAATTTGTCTCATTCAGTGAAATGCTGCAATTTCTCTTCAATTTTATCATTTAACCTTATCATGACCGCTTGCCCGTGGAGCTGAGGTGAACAGTGTTACATCTTCCACAATTAATTCCTCTCAGTGTATTAATTGGGCTTTAAATCTCCTGTAGAATGCCAAAAGTTGCTACGACAAGTTGAAAGTCATACTTTAACACAAATACCAAGTCAGGTATTGTATTCTGGAGGTTAAAATCTCTCCTGTCAGTGCCAGGTTTTGCTAAAATGTACATAAAATTTAGCATGCCTTTTAGACTTTCTCTTTTGGTAACCCTCAGAGGAAGCTACCATGGTATTATTACAATGAAATTATTAATTTTTTATTTTAATAAATATATATATACACATATATATATTATTTCTAATAACTGTCCATTTTTTTCTTTCAAATGACTCCATCTTCACTATAACACAGAAAATGCATTTTCCAAGGTTCTGTGGTTTTCTATGGAGAACAAAATATCAGGGAGAGGATATATTAGGCATGGAAGACAAGTTCTTCCAGCAGATGTCTTACTGGTAAGCTGGAAAAAAAAAATTTAAAAAGGAAAAATTAGAAAAAAATACTTCTGGAATTGCAGGATCAAAAGTTTGATCACTCCAGTTTTCGTTACTTTAAACTGAGTGAATGAACATTACATACATTTAAACAAAAAATTCTGTGTATAAAGATCATATGCAGCTTTGCTTCTGGTTGGGTTTTTTCACTTATTTTTTTCAAAGATTACTTATCCTGGAAATACTAATATAGTTCAAACTACAATAAAGAAAAATTCTAATTAAGTACTGTAGCATTAGTCTATTAGTATCCTTCAAGTATTTACAAAGATGTTTTTGCACTGAAATATTCATAATAAGATAGGAATTGGGGGTGGAAAACCACTTTTCAAGAGAAGACTTCAAATTACGTGTAACTTTTGTGGACCATTCATTGGCTTAGGCAAAAATAGATTCTGTCAAGGCTAGATAGAAATAGCAATATTAGCATCTGATCTGTGCAAGCTGATTTTCTTTCTACATGTGGTTGCCAATATTCAAAAAAATTGCAAATCAGAAGGCTACATATTTATGAGAACTAGTCTCCATAAATCTCAAATTTTATCATGTAGGAAGTTTTATTCTAAATGGGAACAGTAAACTTGTAAGTGAAACTTGCAAATCAGTTTTATCACTGTCTATGTGTGCATATGTATGATTTATAACTATGTTTGAAATTCCAAATTGAGTTTGTAAGTAGGTCTGATAAGTTTTTCTACTTCAAATTTCATCTTTTTCTAGGTGGTGACAGGGGAGTCATGGGATTATTATGACTGGTATTACTCAACAATATGGATTTCGCATGTTGTGCTTGCAGTACCATGCACTGTCCTTATTGCAATGGAACTCTTAGTCTTACAAAAATAAATGATTCTTTAGAAAATGATGCAATTGGTTAAATCTACAAACTTAATAAAATATATCCAGATTTTGATTCACAGCAACAATGTCGTGGATCAAATAACTGCAAATTACCAGCTCCATAGTAATCTACAATGATAAAAAACTACAGAAATAGGGACTGGAGGCTCATTTACTCATCTTTCTAATATAACATCCCATAAATCAGTCAAAAATATTATCTTCCTCTACTATTACAGTAGAGACAGGACTTACTGGCACCTCTACTGTTCCAGTTACCTGTAGCACTAATTCAAACCAGCAATTGTTTGCCATGATAATAAAATTTATTATTTGTCTGCATATCTGTAAATTACATTCATCCTAAAAAAATAGTAAACTGTCTTCAGATCTATTTTATATATAAGTAATAATTTCATCATCAAAGCTACAATTAAGTGAAAAATAACTGATGACTTTAGGCACCAAACTAATCAAGGGATTGCATTCTTTTAGTGCTTTGTCAGCTCCAGCACATACAAAACACAACTGAAAATAAAGGATACATTTCTGGTCTTAATATAATTTGTATGTTTTGAAATATTAAAAATGTGAATAGGAAGGAAAGATGTTGCTGGACACCAAATTAGTAATGTTTTTTATTTTCTCTAATTGCTTGGTAAACTGCTAGAAAAGCTTTCCCTTTTTCTTGGCAATAACCTTCAGAGATCTTTGTAAAGCAGTTTTACACACTGCACATTCTTTTCCTCATGTTTTTACATGCTGTTTATGGAGCTATCTGGAAATGTATTCCTATTATCATACATGTTTGTCTGAAGTTGTATCACATTTAAAATAAGCCAATTAATTAGTCAAGATGGGCTCTTTTCAGCTGCACACTCATTTTCAAATGAATTTATTGAAGGAAAGGATTTACAGCATATGGACTCACAGACTTCTCATAAGTTAAACTGGCATCCATATGTACAGCTTTCAGTAGAGAACTCTAGAGTAATATTTACAATGTAAATATCAACTTTTATTACATAAGAAACAAATATATCACAACTGTCACTTCACAACATATTTGTTCTGGTTTGATGACTAAAGTCATCTCTTTGAAATACTATGTGGAACTCAAAAATAACTTGTTCTTGTCATAGACTTTACCAGGTGTCCTTCAGAGGTCCTGAAAAGCAAAGGAGAAATATGCTTTAAAAGTGCTGTACCACTACTCTTTCTCATTTAGTCAATGCCAGAAGTTTTAGAAGGTGCAAAATTCAGGAGTAGATATGTTTCATAATAATCTTGTCTAGAAAGGACATTTCTTTCCAGAATCACATCGCTTACAAATTATTTCAATTTTCAAGGCATAAGCAGTTTATGTCCTTTCTAATATTTGGGAACTGAAGAAGAACTGCCACATTTGTGGAAAGGAAAAGAACATTTTCTCATTTTCTTTCAGTCTTGGAAGGAAACAAAGCTCGGAGAAATGTCTTTACTTGTATAATCCCCAACAGCACACCCCTCCCAAAACAAAAAGTTATCTTCAAGAGTAGTCTTTTAATCTTTTTTCTTGCTTGTATTTGAGACACAGTTGAATGACAAAAAACATACTACCATCAGTTTGATAATACACTTTTAAGAATACCAAACTCAATTCAGATTTATGTTTCTATGTTACCCTTTCAACGTTATATCCCTGCAAGTGTTGATGAGAAAGGTTTTCATTTCAGTAAACCAAAGAAAAAAAATTGTGAATGATTTTAGAAAAAAATAGAAGTAGCTAAATAGAAAGCAGCAATTGTAAGATTTGCATGTCAGATGATCCCCCCTTAGGTGAGGGTCAAGTACTTTCTTAATACATAAAGTTCATGTTGATCCTCTTAGTTCTAGGGGCAACTCCTTTCTGATAAGAGAGATGTTGAAAAAATCTGCAGCATTTTTTTTTAATTAAACGAAATATCCCTGAGTGTTTTTTTGAAGAAATAATAGTCTTTGTAATTAAAAATGAGTCAGTTGTGGGTTTATGCTACAGTGCACACTGGTTGAAACACTCCAGTGGGTTAGGTGCATTATTAGCAGTGCCATTTAATTAGGAATTTTCAATAAGAGCATTCATGGGATACCTTAAATCTTATTATTAAAATTATTATTTTATTTAGACACAACCCCTATAACATAAGCGTTTCAGGGAACATGACTCCCTTTCCTAGATGATTCCGATTTTCTAATAGATCACATTTCATGTACAATTAATCTCATTTTATGGGTCAAGTCAAAGAACAGATAGCAAGAGGAAAGAAATCTGGGCATACCAATGGGAGGTGGCTCAACAGCTCATCTACAGAATCATAGTTTTCTGAGAAGGAAGGTTCAAGAAGTTCTGCTTCATCTCGAAGTTTAGCAGGGTTTAGCTCTTCCTGGCTGTTGTGGATCAGAAAAGTTTTATTGCTCTCAGAAGAAAAAGCAAACAAGAAAGCAAAGCCTTCTTCTAACTGTAGCTTCTGCACATTTTGTTATACCAAAGTGTTATAAAATGTGAAATACCATGTTTAATGAATGAAGAGACATTTAAAAGCAGATATCTAAATGAGTGAATACACAGACAAAATACAGGGTCTACAAAAATGTATGCTGGCATTTCTCACCTATACTGTTTAGGACATATGGCCTTTCATGGACTTCTAAATTTTCATTTCATGTGTTTACTTAGAGGCAAATTTTCAACAAATTTCTTTATAAAATTGTTGCTCATGTTCCATAACTCTGTGGAGTTTTTCCTTAAGAAGATTTTTCATAAATAAATACATTTTTTAATCCATCAGTAGCCTTTTTAAATTGTCAGAAGCAGTCTCCTCTTTATTCTTTTATTCTAATTTGATTGTAGTGTCTGTTCCAGTCAGGAAGAAAATGTTGTCTGTATTTGAAAACCATGTTATAAACTATGGTATCAAGTCATTAATGTTCATTGCCTCTTGTTTGCCCCCTCTGTATACACACATGGATATAAACCTTTTCTGTCTTAATACCATAAAAGTATGGAAACAATATATATATTGTAGTACCTTCTTTTTCCAGTTAAAACTGAGTTTAAGTATTTCTTCACAGCCATCTGCTTTCGAAAGCGGCTGTAGTTGTCGGTGAAGACAGCATCAGAATGGCGTTTGACAGGACTGTCCTGAGAGCTGGCAATACAACAATTATGAACAAAAAATTATTAGACAATATCTGGCCAAAAGTAGATACTTTTAAATGAGTGAAACAAATTTTAAAATATTGATTAGCTAAATAAAATCAAATTTTCATTTCAGCTTTCATTTCCAACTATGACTTTGGATCTTTCTTCTGTTGAAAAGAAGCCACTGCTTCTATTGCTTACTATGTATTTTAATAACAAGGATCAAACTCCAAAGATTGGTATTCAGTCTTTTTGGGCACATCTTCCATTGATTTTTTTTCTCCTACTCAACTTTGCCATGGACTATGCAATTAGGATCTATACTCAGTGATTTCTAGATCACTTGTCCCAGGAATTCTGCAAGATCAAGTGGTTGAGTGTGAAATTCATTACTCCCTCCTATTTGTTCTCATAGCCCAGATTACTTTTTTAAATAAACACATTTTATTCTGATGTCTATCATTTGCGTAAATATTGGTACAAACTGTGTAAAATTTTGGCACAATGCCAAAGTGCAGCTTGGTTTAAGTCACAGTAAGTCTTAAAGGACCCCACCACTGTGCATATTGAACTCCTTGAAGGCGGAGCCTGCCACTGAGGAAAGTAAGAGCACAGCATCCCATAAGTAGCTATAATTACTGGTCCTAAGGAGGTTTCAGGAGGAAAAAACAGACCTTGTGAAATCCAAACCTGGAGGCCTATTTTTCATGAACAATCTTGGGAAGCCTCAAGTGTGTTCTGTTTTAAATTATCTATATTAGTTTACAACATATGAGAAACTGGAATTATATGTTCTGGAAAAAGGCACAAATGGAGCACCTAATTTTTACTCAGTTTTTGAGCATATGGAGTAGGCTCTCAATGGAACTGTCATAGTGAATCAGTCCAAAGTATTCTACTATTACACTCCGAAAAGCACGCAGTAGCTGCTGCTTAGGGTTATGAAAACAAGAAAAGTAATCCTTCCCAGCACCCCGCAACCATTAATTTATGAATGTCCTGGTCTGGAATTTGCATCCAGACACCATGTCTATGAATTTTGCTCTCTATTTTTTTTTTTTTTTTTTGAATCCTGCTACAATACGGATCTCACAAACATCTGGCAGTTGGAAAAAACAATTCCTTTACATTTTCACTATAAACCAATTTTTTCTTAATTTTATTGAGCATTTCCCTGTTGTTATATAAGTACTGAATAATCATTCATTTTGTATTTACTTTTGCCATTCATCCACTAAGCTAATAAAAACACTACTAGAGGAAAAAAATTAGCAAATTAACATGCTAATATTGCCAGTATATATTATCTGTGCTTTGTACAGTGTCTATTGCTCTACCTCTCACAGCTATATCAGGAATAAATAGTAGCGTACTCATTTAGGAGTATCACTAAATACTTATATAGGATTTACAGCTCCTCCATAATTATAATAGCTTCTCTTTCGTTATCTCTAAATCACAAAAAAAGAGAACTTAGGTACAGAAGGATGAAAAAATGCCAATGAAGCCAACTAGGAAAAAAATCTACCTAATGTAAGTGTCACCTCACCTAACTCGTTTTCTAATAAGCGAATGCAGATATCTCTTCACGGCAAGTTTAGCCAAAAGATGGCTGTAGACACTGGTGAAAATTCCATCAGCATGCCTTGCATTTCTGAAATGGACAATAAATAAACTCTACAATACAGCCTGGGTTCATATCATTTTGACAACGTTCACTTTGTAAACATACTACTTTCCTTAATTTATCTATTGTACATATTAAATTAAACTAATTTCATATACAACTTCCAGATTTTCACAATGTAATTTTTAGCCCTTCTTGGAAAGTGAATGCATTCGTCATGCCAGAACGGCAATGCAATCAACATTTCTGCCAACCAATATTCAACCAGCGGCTGTGTAAGTTTTTTCTTCTGTAATTGAATCTTCCTTTCCTGTTTCTCAGTTTGAAAATGTGAATGACATTTTGGCATAAATCAGGTAGTCCATCATCATTCGTATTTTTGATAATGAAGAAACTCACCTATCAATAATTCTGGACAGATCAAAATAGAATTTCTCATTTTCAGGTAGTGTGTTCTGCAAAATGTCTGATTCTGATTTTAATGACCCATGGGCATGATCAGGTTCACTGGCTCCATCAAATGGCATTCTGTTTCCCAATCTGTTGGAGGAAGAAACGATATAAAGTACAACTAGCTGAGGACATGCAACACTTCAGTGCAGTTTACATTCCGGTTTGTGTCAAAAATGCTTATCTACCTCCTTTAATTTGTAAGTCATTTTATAAAAGTCTAGATAAAATAAAAATCACTTTCAGGTATAATCCATGCTGAATGGTAGACTGATTGACTTAACAGATCCTTCTCTCAAATGTGTATTTTCTAGATATATGTTGTCATTGTACACAGTTTATTTCAGTGAACAGTGCATAATGTGTGGTGATTACAGCACAAGTGACAACCATGAAGCTTTTTCTAAAGACTATATTTTGTGTAAATGATAGATTGAATTAACAGCCACTACCTATGCAAAGTGAAAACAGTTCCTGTGACGTACTAATCTCCCAGTTAAGGTTTAAGATATGCATTGAAATGCATAATGAAACAGTTCTTAGGCCTTCTCCAAAGAAAACAAATACATCAAGAACTTTAAACTAAATCCGAAGTTCAGTCATGTATCCCTATGTGCTTTTATTCTCTCGTAAATGCTCACATTTAATCTCTTAAAATGTATCATAGCAATTGCTCTGTATAAACTGATTTACAGTTACTTCACATTTTCATAACCTGCTGTTTCTTATGATGTGTCATATTTTATCAAGGGCAGTCTAACTGCAAAGCAGTAGTTTGGCATCAGACATTCCTTCTAGCTGCTCTTATGTTCTCTGGGAGACAATAGGCTCCCATAACCATAGGAAATTCCTGCATGTGATGATGTGCAGAAATCCCATATTAGAAGTAGGATAGGCTATCACTCTTGTAATTTTTCGGTCACTATTAGTACTGCTTATATATCTGAGTCATGTAAGCCTTATGTCTGGTTAAAATATCTTGCAAAGTTGCTACATAAGATAAACCACCTCAAGTCACACCTTTTGTAAGTCACACTGTGCTGTTTTGCCGTACTGTTTTCCATTGGTCTTTGTACACATTATATTCATCTTATCTAAATGTAAACCGTACCGTTCTGCCACCTGATTTAATTTAGCTGAACAACTAATAGGAACTTCAACCAGGCAAAGCACGCAGTGGTACAAAACCTACACACCGGTCTGTTCCGACGGCTACGCTCACGTCCCGGGGCACACCGTAACCCACATCCCCTCCGCCTCCCGCACATACCGCGGTCACCGCTTCCCAACCCGTGGGGCAGCACCGCTGCAGCCGCCTCGGGAGGTGAGTCCGTGTCCCGGGGGCTTTTACAGTGGGATCGGCGGGCACTGGCAGGGAGACGCCTGACCGGAGCCTCACCTCGAAGACCCCGCGCACCCTCCCGTCCCGGGGCAAACGGCCCGACGGGAGGAGCCGCACTGCGCGCTTGTTGGAAGGGCGCAGCGGAGGACTGGGTCTTTCACAGTCCCCCCTCGGCTCCCAGCGGGGCCGGGCAGGCCCGTGCGGGCCGGCGGAGCGCGGCGCGGAGCGCGGCCCTTACCGCGGCAAGGGAGGGAAGGCGGCTCCCCGTGGGGGCAGAGCCCGCGCCCGCCAGCAGAGCGCGCTGAGGAGGGCGAGGGCGAGGAGGAGCGGGGAGGCGCCGCGGTGCTCCATGGCCGCCACCTGCGGAGGGAAGAGCGGAGCAGTCACCCACCGACCCGACCCGCCCGCACCGACGGGCCCCGCGCCCTGGTACCGGGGCTTCGCCTCGGGCCGCCGCGCAACTGCCCCGGCACCCGGGGCACCTGGCCCCGTCTCAGCCGCGGTCCCGGTCCCAAGAGACACCGTCAGCATCTTCCCCGCCACCGCGACCCTGCTGCCGGCAGGGAGAGCTGGCACTCCCGAAGGTGACCCTCGGACAGCTGTGAGGGGCAGCGACCCCCGGGGCTTAGCGACTTAGGCGGCAAAAAGGAAGGGTGCCTCCACGGCTGCCCGGGGCAGTCAGAACCGCTCCCCACTCCCCGACGGCCGGGACGTCTTCCCTGCAGGGTCCGGGAGGGGAGAAGAGAAGCGTGGGTGCGGAACGGGGATACCCTCCTCATCCGCTGGGAAGTTGCCGGTGCGGTGGAGGGGAAGTTACTCACGGAGCCGCGAGTCCGTCGGTGGGTCTGTCTGTGCAGGTGCGGAGCGGAGCGGTGCTGGGGAAGTGCGCCCTGCCCCGCTGCGAGACTGCCGGAGCGGCGGCAGAGGGTAAGGAGGAGGAGGATGAAGAGGAGAGGTCCGTCTCGCCGCACGCTCTGAGATGCCAGCCGCGCCACTGCGTTTTATAGCGTTTACACGTTTCTGCTTCCGAAGAAGCAATCACGTTACTGGAGAGACGTCACCCTTCCCAAGGGGACGGTCGCTTTGTTCAGGACAGTCAGAGACTTATATTTAACTCATGATCAGTCGCGCACCCTACCTCTTCCCCTTCCCCCACCTCCTCCCTCCCTCCTCCCTCCCCCCCGGCCCTTATTTGATTTATATTAATTACATAGTTTTGCAGGAAGCGAAGCCCCGTCGGCGGGGTGATTCCGCCTCACCAGGCAGGAGACCAAGCGGCCATCGGGGGCTGTGGTGGGCACCTCGCATCGCGCACCCCTGCCCGCAGCCAGCATAGCCGGAGGGGAGGTGGTTGCACTCCCCGGGGCCCTCCGCTCCCCCGCACACCCCTATAGCCCCCTTACTTCTGTGCGCAGTCCCCTTCTCTAGGGGTTGCTCCTTTTCCTAGCTCTTCGCTGGAGTTTCCATGCTAGGCTGGTCTCTCTCCGTCCCTGGCACATGCCCGTCCTTGACGGGGGTTCCCGCCCGAGGTGCGCAGGGAGCTGGTCTTAAAAACAAAATTTTCCTACGGGTTTTAGTTTGATTTTAGCAGGCGTAGGGGTGTTTACCAGTCTCTGATTTTTCGTTTAAACTGTGTGTGTGTGTTCGTGTAAAACGGATTAAACCCCACATCCAAGCTCCGCTTGGCTGCAGCCGAGCACTGCAGGTGCTTGTGACCGTTCCGCGGATCGCAGCACCGGCACACGCGTCACGGGAGCGCCGCTGGAGAGTATGTTAAACCCGTCTGGGCAGGAGGGGAATCAGCTCTTCCTTCTAGGTTTCTTAAGTTCAGACCTCGGGGTGGGAGTCACTGCCACAGTAAGGGAGAACCAGATAGTTTCAAGTCTTTGATTTTCTCCTTCGAATTTTTGCTACCTCGGAGAGATCTGTGGGCTGCAGGGAGAGAAACACAGGGGAAGTGGGCGTGGGACCCACGGGCAGGCCGGCAGCACCTCTTCAGTGTCTCACCGTGCCTGCCCTGGAATATTTGCCAAACAATAGTGGAAGAATTTCAGATTAAAAGGTCATTATCCTCTTTTCTTTTTTCTTAATTTTTTTCTTGAGCTTTTGTGCTCTAATCCTCCTACTCAGTCAGTAGTGATTGTACCAAATCTATACAGATGATTTCACCATTTTTTCTTACTTCTATTAAGTTTCTCTGTTCCATATTTCACTAAAGGTTAGGCAGGCTCAGTGCCGAAGATTCTGCGATGCTTAATCGTATTTTCTAATTCAGTTACATAAAGAATAAGTGAATTAGATTAAAAATGCCTGGAAATTTGTTTCTCGGATGACAGCTATGACTAAAACCAGAGTTCCTGCAGTAGTCTAATTTCAGGAAATTTTCCCCTTGTTACTACGTAACTGGAGGTCGAAGATGCTATTCTGCTCTGGAATGGTGAGATGAGCATCAATGGCACCGTATCCCTCTCACCCCTCAGAAATATGCCAGTTATGGCGCATAGGCGTTGTGCTGCATGCACAACTTGGAGAAGTGCAGTGGACTTCACCCAGCTGCCTGAAAAAGGAGAAACCCATCTCCTGGGTGGCGTAAAGACGCTTTGCCGGGGCGCCGAGAAGTCTTCGGGTTCCCAGGCTCCTGGCCTGGAGCGGCGAGCGAGAACGGGAGGCGGCTTTAGGGACAGAGAGTGTGGGCACTCCGCGGCCAGGGTCAGGCTCGGGGGAACCGGAGCGCGGCGACTGCCCGCACCTCAGTCCCGCACCACAGCCCCGCTCCTCAGCCTCTCTCTTCCTTCTTAGTCTCGCTCCCGCCTAGGGCGCCGCTGCGGGAAAAGCCCAAACGCTGCTGGCAGCAGGAAGCGGAGAAGAAAGAAGTTTCCTTCTAGCGCTAGAACGCCTGAGTTAGCGCAGCGGGGTCTCGCAGGAGTCCTGCGGTCTGCGGTCCCTGGGAGGGAGGAGGGGATTACCCAATTCAAGCTAAGGAATATGTGAAAAACGAGTCTGCTGTCAGTTGCTATGTATGTGCAGTATGGGTGGCCGCAAATTGTGAGAATACTTACATAGATTGCCTAAAAATTTGAGAATCGCTGACAAATCGGTGCTTTCTTACCATACCATGCTGTGACGCACTGTACTGCACTGTTCCATACCATACCTGGTAAATCTGGTTTGCTGTACCTTTGTTTCCCTTTTCACAGGTAGTACACTAGATTGCACAACATGCTGTAAGGTTGGCTAAAATGCCCTCAGAACCTCTCTAGGGAAGACAATATTGATGAAAAAAACTCTATAGCCTCCTTAACGATCTGAGAAATCTGTAGTGCATCTAGTCTTACAATACCATTTTTCCCCCTATTCTATAGACAAGAGACTGAGTTATAGGGAGATCAAGTGGATTCCCCTTGTTTACCCAAGAAATTCCCAGTGGAGCTTTGAAGTGATCCCAAATGTCCCAAGCACTCTTCAGTCACACTAACAATTGTCTGCGTTTCCCCTCAACATCTTGATGCAACCCACCACCTTCTCCTCTTGAATCAAAATAAACTGAAGAATGCCATCTTTTCTTTTCTCCTTAGTCATTCCTCACATTTCTCAGGAAGATTTTCTGTGAGGGAGGTTTGTTTGGGACAACTGAGTAAGGTTTGGGATGGCAATCCAAATTGTATCTTTTCCAATTCTTTTTTCCCCCCTGAAGCTTAAATACACTATTATATCCACATCCAAAAATATTTTGATACAAGCAAGGCACTGAATGGAAAATAATACTATATAAGCATTCAGATGGAGAATAGACCCTTCTCCCTAGGAGTCCTAAGCAAGTCCTCTTAAGATCTAGGCAGATGAACTCTTTCTGGAAGGTAACTCCTACTTCTGGTAACTGTCTTCTACTGACAGAAATTCTGCCCTTTCAGGAAAGTGTCACTTGGGAAAAAATAGTGCTCACGAGCTTCTCCAGGATATTAACTAGACACAGGCAACTTGGTGGAAGTCAAATATTTTGCAGTGGTTGTTGTAGGAATCCTGTTGCTTAGCAGCTCAATGTCTACTGCATCTTTTATCTTTGTTCTATGTATTATCAAAAATCTTTTAGCTACCTTCACTTTTACTTTATCTTCTTTACAGTTCCACTTAACTATAACAACAACAAAAAGGTTATAATCATAAAGACTGAGCAAAAAGCAGAAGTTGTCTGAAAGTTTATCTCACCATTTGTATACAAACTTGTATGATGTATATATAAATCTAGTATTACCTAAAATAGCTACATCATCTGGGGTAAGATATTTGGGAGTTGTTAGGTTTTTAGTTAGATTTGATTACTAATTTTAGCATGTAAAACTGTTCTGAAATTGATGTGCTAAAAAATCTCCTAAAGCCAAATCCTTAGATGAGAGGAATCTGCTTAGTTCCACAAAGGACCTGATTAATATTTACCAGATCTATCACATAATTGTATTTTAAGAAAAGAGTTACATCAGAAATAGAAATATCATTTTATTTGGGGAAAAAGGATAAAAATTTTAAAAGAGTTGGTTTAGGACTTGTGTATTATGTCAGAAAAGGAAACTTCTACTGACTCATGAGCTCTCTCTTACTAATCATTGGGTTAGCAGAATGTCCCTTGTGCATTACAGCTCATGTTCCTGTAGATGAGTTCAGAAACTCTGCCTTTGATCCCATAGCTGTATCACATTGATCCACGAGTTTTTAGAGCTTATAGAGCAGATTGATGGAGCACTACTATTCAGCAGCTAACAGGAGAGCTTTTTCAACTTCCACAAAAGAAATAAGAGACAAAAGGTCAAGAAACTGTATATGAATTGTAAAAAATACAACTTAAAAGTGATAAACCGCCCTTCTTTAATCCTTTAATGACATGATTAGTATAATCTCCAGTATCTGCTCTCAGCACCGTGTTGCATTGCTGAGTCCCACTCTCACATAAACATCCATATTCCTCAGTATCACCTGATTTGAGAAAATGGATGGAATGCTGAAGTGAAAATGATGAAACTTGTTCCAGTCTCACTTTCTTTGCATCTGTCTCTGAATGTTTCTCAGAAGAAATAAGGAGAAAACCATCAGTTTGTTCTTTTAGGTAAGTTATATTTCAAAAGCACAGTTCAGATTCTACCACACCTTTAACCCGAGTCAGCTCTGCAGACTCAGAAATATGATGGTAAGCAGAATAAAACACAGACAAATATTTTGCAGTTGAAAACTCATTTCTTACCTTCTCCAGCAGAAAATTCAGCAGAAGATTGCTTGTCTCTTCACTTCCCAGGCTGTGAGGGGCATTGCACAGGTGTAACAGGGGAGCCTTTGTTTCATCTCTCACCCTTTTTGAGCCTTGCTTTCAGGTCACAAGTTTGGATCCTCAGAGCAGAGTCATTAACTGAAGTAAACTCCCGCAACATGTAAATTATATTAACAAACATGATACTATGTACACCACTTGAACAATTCAGTCCTGTTGCATCTGATAGTTTTGCACTATTACTCTGTGTGGGTTAACAATTTTCAAAATCAGTCTTCAAAATCACTGGAACATTTGGATTATGCCTATCGCTCCCAACCACTCTTCCATCTCTTACATTAGTATGTCCTGGCACATCACCAACACAGACATGCTTGATTTTTTAAAACTTCCTAGTGGTTATAGTGATAAGAAAAAGGCATGAAGAAGAGCTACTGACTCTAGCAATACTTCCAAGGGTCTTTTCCCCTTGCCTTGGATGTTAACTGGGAAAACTCCTACTGCTTGTAGTTGAGTTCTGTTTTCATACCCCTTCTCCCTCACCCCAAAATGCAATCAGCTTTTCTCCGAGACTCCAAAGGATTTTGGGATAGGCATTTTGTTCTCCAGGTGTTTATGCTGTTTGGTATGTGTATGAACTACTGCTTCATGTCCATCTGGCTCATGGTATGTAGCTGTCCTGGAAGTGTTGGTCCAAATTCGTTC